GTTCACCCTCTTCTCCCTGGTAATAGGCGATAAGATGAGGGGGAATCATTTGAAGTTGCACCAGGGCAGGTTTAGGCTTGACATTAGGAAAAACTTCTTCACAGAAAGGATTGTCAGGCTCTGGAATGGGCTACCCAGGGAGGTGGTCGAGTCCCCATCCCTGGAGGGATTTAAAAGTAGGACAGATGAGGTGCTTAGGGCCAGGGTTTAGTGGTGGGATGGCAGGGTTAGGTTAAAGGTTGGACTTTATGATCTTAAAGGTCTTTTCCAACCAAAGTGGTTCTATGATTCTGTGAATGAGGAAATGACAAGGTGTGCAAGCCATCAGAACCCCTGCCGTGACAAACAGCTATGCTTTCAGTAAAACGACATGTATTTTCTCAGCTCAGAGGTTGACTTCTCGCCAGTCGCAGCCCACCTCCCTTACGCAGCAGCTTCCCTGCAATACACGGTTGAATACTGAGGGTCTCCGGTTTCATTGCTGGCCCTGCCCTGACTCCCGAGGCCAAGATTTGGAGGGAAGAGCATTCAAATACAAGCCACAATTCACAGAACCATCAGGACGGGAAAAAGAGAAGAAAACAGAACACTGTGCTATGTCAGCAGAAAAACTAGAGTTTAAATAATAGTCTAGAAAATGAATGAACTCATGAGCGTGGTGGATTCTTTCAAGCAGGATGACGTGATGGACTTGACAAGCAAACAGGGCCTCCCCCCTAGCACCTGAAAAGTGGTTGGGCAATCACCACCGAGTTGGATAAAACCAGAAGTTAATCACCCTACTATGCTCTTACCTCCGCGGAAGCAGGCTCCAGTTCGGTTTTCAGAGCAGGTACAGGAGGCGGAGATGGAGCTTTCTCTTCCTCAGGTGTGGGAGACAGCGGAACATCTGCTAAGAAGATAAACATCTTAATAGCACGTGAATCTAATACCCCCTGCAGCTACACTTTTGTCTCAGATCATTTCATTCAACTCTGAGCAATTGCTTGTAACCTGTATTTAGATCAAGGTTTACAAGTTCTCACTCAGATTTGTTTAACTCAAGTCAAGACAAATCATTCGAAGCAGTCAGCCTCCAGCCAGATGGCTCACCCTGTGCTAAAGGTGCAGTTCCCAAAGGAAGGAGGGTGGGATAGGATGGGAGAAGTGCATTTAGGATTTTTGGTAAGCCAAAACCAGTTCCACCAACTGAAACTTTAAAAACAAGCACAGAAACTGGCAGGTTTTAGCCACATATTTCACTTGCTCGTTAAAAAGAGGGACCGGAATTTGTTTAGAAATTGAAAGAGTCAGGGTTTAAGACTACGTGTTCCCAAAACATGGGATGCCCTTAGTTTCTCTACCTCTTCCCCACTGGGAAGAAGTCATTGCTTCACAAGTGGTGCTTACACATCCCAAACAATCAACGCTATTAGCTTGAAACTACCTTAGTCCAAGAATTAAGTGCACTATACTATTACCCACCCTAAAAGATTGTCAAGGGACACCCCAATCTTTCCTTTGAAAAACAAACAGAAAGCTAAAACATCCCAAAAAACTGAGCCCATTCTCTCATCTGTCATCATCTGCGCTCTCCTCCAGGTGCAAGGATAGAGATAGTGGAATCATTTCAATGCCAAAACTGATCAAAATGGTCAAGGCCACCTTCACAAATTTGTACAGAGCTCTGGAGCCTCTACCAGCAACGTCCAACAGGGCCTTAGCGAGACTAGCAGGGCTTACAGACAAATGAGAAAGCCAGGGTCACACCTCCGTGGGGCTGGCAGGGGGATGGGGGCATGACAGCAAAGAAAAATCTGCACAGGGCAAGAGGGCAAGGAGCAAGCACCTTGCACCACACAGCAGGCACCGTGAACTAATTTAAATGGCTTTAAGGAATCCTTTCCAAGTCCAAGTGAGAAACACTGCCATGCAAGTCCTCAAATGTGGGGGAGAGCTGGGAATGTGGGGGAAGAAACTCCTCATCTGACCTATTGCCTAAGAATAAGAACAATGCTGCTGGATGGGAGGAGAGAGTGCCTGCTTGGCTTCTCCTCCCAGCTCTGCTGGCTGTTGCGCTGCATTCATCCTGTCGTTGTAACACAAATTCTGGATCTGTAGCTGTCCCAACAGATTAGGTCAGTGTTAAGAGTTATGACTGTGCCAGGCATGCGGCCAGCTGACCTTCATAGGTTAAGAAGGGCTCAAGTGAAACAGTGGTTGGCTGCCAAGGCTAAATAATAAATTACGTTCTTCAAACAAGGACTCGGCCTCCTAACTACTTCAGTAAGCGAGGCACAGAAATGCAAACAGAGTGGGGTAACATGACTCCCTATTTCACCTTGCTCCAAAGAGCTGGGTTCTGGCAGCTGTGCAAAGATAAAACCAAACAACGGATCTGCTCTAAGGTGCTAACTGCCGGGGCAGCCGGGACCGCAGCCGAGGAGCTGCGGGGAACTCAAAATTCTCAATATTTATCATAGTCTCACAGCAACTGCAGGCCAAAGCGCCCATATGCTGCACAGCACCAAACCTGCTTCACAGACTACCCAGGCTGGCCACATTAATTTAAAAATATTTTTGAGAGTGTATAGGCTGAGAGGGCTGAAAAGCAGCCTGGTGAGAAACTGCCACCGCTGCCGTGCTGGAGCAGAGGCTGCCGCGGGTATTTTCAGCGTGTCAGCTCCACTCTGTGCTTGTTTGGGGGAAATCTGGGCTTTTCTTCAGCCTCCTCCAAATGAGTTTGCCCAGCTTTTGGCAGGCAGAAGGCACCGTCTCCCCATGTCAGGAGTGTTTCGGACTACCATCAAGCTGCGTCTCTATTATTTTATTATCCTTTTCTAGCCAACACAGCCCTCTGACATGTGATAACTCCTGAGTCAACCTCTAGCTGCTGCCCACAGTTTACTCAACAGCAACAGCTGCATGAAATGGATACAAGTTGGGCAATTGGATGTACCAAAGATGTAAATCCTGGCTTTGTTCGGTTTGCTCTGACCCTGCCTGGAAAAACTGTGAGAAGCTTTAGTGCTTCTGCTGCGGCTCTCCGAAACCGATAGAGTTTGGAGGTTACAGTGCCACTGAAATCACCCTCCAAAGTGGCTGTAAAACACTTGTCAACACTGCGAAACGCTGCCTGTGTTGGTATAGCTGAAGCTGCCAAAACCTCCTGTCCTCTGCGGACACACTTGTGCAGTTTATTCTGGCACTGGAAGCAAAACAACCTGCAGTGACTAAGGCACCCTCATACCAATATAACTTTTTAATGAAAAATCATTTAAATGGAGAGGATTGTGCCTTATGCCCTCTCTGTATTTTCGACTTGGTACAATGTGCTGACACTCGTGTAAGAAGAGCTTATTTTGGGCTAATTTCAGTACATTAAGAGCAGACTAATATAGAACAACACTGAAGACTTGCCCCGACATAAGAGCGCCCATACAGCGCTTCGCATCAGTCGTACGGACCTGGTTTCAAACCCACAAAACCTCGCTAAGTCTGCCTGAAAGAAGGGCAGTGGTTTTACCAGCAGTTACCCAGGTGGAGCCCCGTCTGAACGCCTTTCAATCGCAGCGACGGCTGCGGACAAGCATCCCCTTGTACCTGCAGCTGCACCCGCAGGAAAGGTTAGCACCTCAGCCCCAGGCCGTGCCTCCCCGAGCAGCCCGTGCGAGCCCCTCGGTGGTGGCTTCGAGCAGAGATCAGCCAGGCTAGCGCGGCGCGTTAGCACCAGCCAGACTGTTAGCCTTTGAGATCTGCGCTGGCGGTGCAGCTTGCCGAATTGTGTTTTACGTATTTAAAAACTTACCCCTTGATCATCGGCGGGTGAATTACGCAGGTGGGGGGTGGCCCCTGCCTGGCAGCGATTTCCAAATGCTGGGCAGCACGTGGTGCCTTCCTCCCTGCTCCCACAGGGATGCAGCGCAGAACAACGTCACCCCCGGGGCCGCGTTTTGCTCACTGATGCTGCTGATTAAAATTGCCCCTGCTCTCTGGAGAAACCCGTTTCCAACCCTTCCAAGGATAAATGCTCTCAAAGTCCAGCTGCTGTGTGGTTTTGGTTTGGTTTTTTTCCTAAATTATTTAGGGACAGGGTTTAGGGGTGGGATGGCAGGGTTAGGTTAAAGGTTGGACTCGATGATCTTAAAGGGCTTTTCCAACCAAAGCGATTCTATGATTCTATTTGTTTCACCCAACTTACATTCTTACACTGGAATACTGAATGTAATATTACCAGCTTGGAACCAGTATGAATATTTCAAAGAATTCAAATTTATCTTCTTTCATCCTCTTGGATTTAGAAGAGCAAGCAGCAGAACCAAACGACTGCACTAAGACCTCATTGGGGTTGTTTAGAGAGCCATTAGCTTTACAAGGGAGAAGAGAGAAGCTCTGCAATTCTCATCCTTCCCTTCTGAAAGAGGGAACAGTACTTAAGCTAATCTGAGTAATACACAAATTTGCATAGACAAGCTATAATTTGCATAAATTTACAATTCCAGTACACAACACAAAGCTGAACAAAGAGGACCCCGCTGCAGGAAGCGCAACAGCAGAATTCAGCAAGATTCTCCAGACGGAAAGTCAAACTTTCTGCATACACCTCTAGCAGGTTAAACAGGAATAAACGAAAAGCCAGCCCTCCCTACAGACAAGCGTGTCGGCAGCCTTACTTGTACTGGGTTTAATGTCTAAAGCTACTGAGAATGAGGTTAATAAGACAGCTGGGCCCCCAACCCAACCAGGGGATCAGACTCATGGTTTCTAATTGCAAATCCAGTTAACTCACACTTACGAGCACAAATAAAACAAGGGAGAACAATTCAACAGACCTACGGCGTGCGCTGAGGTAGGAGCACACGCGCACCCCCTGGACCACACCTTGGAATAAAAGGATAACACAAGGCACCACATTCAAAGGCTTTAACCGTTCAGCACACGCTAACGTAACACAGGTATTGAACAAGAGAGCAGAGCGCTCTAATATTCAAAATCAAAATGGGCATGCAGCAAGCAGGAGTTTGCAGTACTCTCTAGAAAGCGCTGCTCAATTTAGGACAGTCTTAGGGCACTGCTCTTAGTCTCCAGACATGAAAAGAGTTCTAACAGAAATAGAGAAGGAAAGCAGAATGCACGGCCGCCTCTCAGCTTGCTGCATGCTCAGAGCACCCTCGCGAAGACAGGCTGAGGGGTCCCCAACTCACGGCAGCACAAGGAAGGCCAAACCAACAAGCTCTCATGCTTCAAAGAGCAGTCTCTCTGCACAGCCCTGCCACGCGCCCAAAACACGGGGCTCATTTCCGCCTGCTCTCCTTAGCAGAGCACGGACGAGCTGAGAGATTGCAGCCCAGCAAGGAGCAGCGCTTCAAGCAGCTCAACGGGCTGATTTCAGTCTTCCCTCTTCAGAGCTAAACAACGCAGCTTGTCAGTAGGCTGAGTGATGAGCAAATGGAAAGACCAGATAATAGCTTACAAACATTTAAAGAAACCAATACCTAAGAGTGTGGGCATATATATATATATATTTTTTTTTTTTTTGTGGCCAAACAAGGAGCTGCACACAGGAATGTGATGGAATTAAAGGCTGGTGATGAAGAACAGCTTCCTGAGAGATTTATCATCCTGTGGAATAGTCTGAGTAGAAGTGATGGATGCCTGACGACAGAGATCACTTGAAATTATGCCGGGCAGAAGAGAAACCATGAAAATAGGCCTAAGGCGGCATGGAGACTGCTCAGATATCCAAACAGGATTTGCCTCTCTAACTTGTATTACGGATTCTCTTCGTTTCATGGTTGTTTCTCATGTGCTAGCCACACTAAATAAGCAAACAGCTTCAGCTCTCCTGCTGGAGTCCATCCCTTTGCTAATACAACCTATTTGCTGTTTCACCTTTTTTTTTTTTTTTTTTTTTTTTTACTGGAGCTGTACATCAAACTGGTGGTTTCAATTATTTGTTCGCAATGATCCCCGAATTCTTTTCCTGATCAGCTTGTTGGATGACTGTTCCATTTAGCACATCGTCCCTAGCTCGATCCCAGCTTATTTTCCAATTATCTATATTGAACGGCATTTGTCACCTCAATTATCCAAATTCTTTGGAATCCGGCCCTGCTGTTCCTCATTACAAGCCCAAGTCTTGCAACGTTCTGGGTGCCCTACTCCTGTCAAAGCCAACAGCCACTGAGGAGACGCAGAGTCGCATCGGATATGGCTCAACTGTTTTGCCTCCAGTTTCTCTATTATCTTTTTTTTTTTTTGTTTTGGAAGTCTCGCTTCCAATGCCGTCTTCTAAACCATTTCTATAAACAGACAAAATAAAGATACTAAAAATGACCCTGGGAAGGGGGGGGGAGGTCACTATGCGAGTGTTTATATTACCAAATAAACTGGTTATGACCAGTCCTACAATTCTGGAAGGCGCGCGCTATCTTTCACAAGAGATTTGAGAACCTCCTTCCCACACGTCAGCGCGACTGGCAGCACGCTTGGTGAGGAGACGGCCAGATCTGAGCTAAGCTAAAACAAAGACTGAATGACTGAGGCATCTCAACTGTATGCCCAAGTGCTTGCAGCACAAGATAAACAGAACGCTCAAGCTACAGCCATTTGCACGGTCTTTAGTCTTCTAAACTATTCCCTCAATCGTTGACCAACAGCCTTGGATGGTAATATCGTTCAACTCAGGCCCCTGACCTACATGCCTGGTTGCTTACATGTCTTTTTACCTTCCTCGTCACTGCTGTCAGACTCAAGTTGTTTAATTCGCTTCCTCTTTTTCTTCAGATTTTCGGGTTCTCTTTCCTCCTCGCTATCCGACTTGTCCACCCTCTTCATTTTACTGCCACAAAAAGAAAAGGAAAAAAAGGAACCAACAGGCGTTATCCCTTGTGCGTGCATGAAAGCGTCAGGCACGTTTAGACAAGCACATGGCCGATAGAAGCACTGCTAGCAAGGAAATCGAATACCTCTGTAGCTCTTAAAAAGATGAGATCACATACGCTGAAGCATACTCACCTATACAATCAGGCGCAGAGGCATGCACATTTTCAAGCCTCTCATCCTTACCCATATCCAATTCTCCAAAACAAGGAGGATTTCTTTAGCCCCTCTGCAGTTCAACAGTTTGCCCAGGACCTCACCTAGCTTGGCCGCAGCAACCTGGCAAGAGTGCATTTCTGATCTTGTCTCTATAGCTCAGGCTCCCAAACACTAATGTCCCCAACAGCATCGCTCAGAAGCTCTTTTGACAGACTGCTTGCCACTGACTGACTATGAGGTAGTGTCTCAGAATCCTGGAGCCATTTTTAAAGACTACTGGAAAAATAAAATAGCTTCTTTCTTTTTAATGTTGGCGAGACGCGTCAGACTAACAAGCCTGGAGGCTAAAGGCCCACGTATCCTCATAGAGCTGGTACAGCCCAAGTGGCCTTCCCAACACCACACTGCCAACATGCAGTTTCCAGGCCCTTGGCTTTTTGAATAAGACTATCAATAAGACGACCAGTTAGCACTAACTGCGATGGTGGGCTGGGCAGTGTGCTTACCTATTTAGTTAGAAACGGATTGAGACCACCAATTAATTACTCATAGGCCACCGGAGAGCCATCAGAGTGTAATGATTTTTTGTCTCTGTCAGTTTGGGTTGGATTAAACACAAAGGGCTGAACTTAAAATTTACTTGGAGTCTCAGCCCAAAGTAAACCAGCGGCATTGAAAGCAGCAGTACATTAGCTATGGAAATCAACAAGCAGAACTTTGTGTGCTGGAAGCTGTGTACATATAAGCTTGGGAATATACTACCTTCCCTGCAGTACAGGTGCTCCTGCCAGCCCCCACAGATTGCCTGCGGGGTCTATACTAAGTCTGCTCACAGCGTGAGGCTGTCTCCTGGAAAGCCACCCCCTCCCACCAAAGACTACCTGGACCGTGTCCCTTCCCATTTGCAACGGCACAAATGGCCCCGAGGCATCTCTAGCACTAAAATGGAAAAGAAATATTAGGAAAGAATTCCAAGAGAGATAATTTTAGCCAGGTTTAATGCAATTTAGTAGCTGGAAAGAGGAGGTGAGCCAGCATTGTATGACCAGCCAGCTCCACGCAGGCCATCAACAAGCGGGTTAAGAGATTACAGGCACCCTGAGTGGCGTGGCCCACCTTTTTTTGTCCTTTTGTTGAATTCTAGTAGACTCCGTTTTCTTCCCAGGTTTCTCTACTACAGCATTACAGGATGACTCTGGTTCTGCTACAGGAACTGAAGGCTTGACTACTTCTTTCTCCTCCTTTGGCTGCTCAGGCACAGAGTTGACTTTGAGTTTATCTGCGAATAAACCATTAAAAAAAAAACCAAACAACAAAACCAAACGCTGGGTATTCAATATGAATGACAACTTACAAAGGAGCTGGCTAAACAGAACACTGTGCACCAAGAATACAGAGAACACTATGGATGATATATAAAAGCATTATGGGATCTAAATTGACCAAGCTGTGTCATACATGAAAAAAGGGCATGCTTAAATTTCTAGCCAGTTTGGTTCTGTTCCTGATGGCGCAGGCCAAGCACACTGTGAGCTGAGGATGCTGCAGTGGTTAAACCCTGCAGAAAGAGGGCTAGGAGGCAGCAGCAGAAGCCCTTGGGGTCACCAAGGCCAGAAAGCACTGCAGAAGGGTTGGGAGCCCCTCTTCTAGACAGCCCCCTTGGCAAAACACCACATCCATCTTTACAGTCAGTTTATCCCTTCTAAATTAAGGGGTTTAGTCAAGCACAAAGGTGCCCAGAAACAGGAGAATCAGGACCGATGAAAAGCCACGAAAGGTGTGTGCGGTCTCCATCCTGCATGATTTTAGAGCCCATGATTAGCATTTTCAGTAACGTAGCGGCTTCTTGCCCCACCCCAACCCCAACGTGATCAAGAACCAGCCTCTTTTGCCTAGACAGCACAAGATACAATGACAATTCTGCTTCAGAAGACTTAATCTAGTACCAGAGAAGAGATAGCAGGTGGGAGTGGGCAGCAAAATAATGTATTTATCAACCTGATAGGTGGTGCTGGTAGCACCCTAGCACTTAAGTACAGTCTGTGAGCTTCATTCAGCAGCTTTACATGCACACACACTCCCCCCACCAGAAGAGAGGAGCCAGAGACGTTAGAAACCTGTATCAATCATCCCAAGCACAAGATGCCCGAGTGAAGAAAAAGCATTCAACAGCGAGATCAACCACGCTGTCAATAGGAACAGGGGATGCTGAGAGGGCTAGAAGACTTCATGACAGCTCCTGACACTGCTTGGAAAACTGGCTGGCTGCTTCACTGAGCAAGGGAAAACATCTTGGACGTAAGAACTTCAATGACAGCTGTTGTATTGATCAACGGCAAGAGCCAAAGGACCGGATTATTGTTAACTCAGGACTTTCTGGCAATGGTCAAAAGTTTGAAGTCAGGGCAGACATACAACATGGAAGGAATAAACCAGGAATCACCCTCTCTCTTCTATACACAAATCATCTCCAGTTTTTCCTGCAGCCACCTCACAAATTTCATAGAATCACTTTGGTTGGAAAAGACCTTTAAGATCATCGAGTCCAACCTTTAACCTAACCCTGCCATCCCACCCCCAAACACTGTCCCTCAGCACCTCATCTGTCCTTCTTTTAAATACCTCCAGGGATGGGGACTCGACCACCTCCCTGG